ACCCTTGCTACAGCTGGATGCCCAGCCGAGAGGGAGCCCTGATCACTAGCAGCCAACAATACCCACATCCCAGCAAACTGCTCCTACGGGATCACCATCTATCCTTGGAAGAATGGCAAGTTCTTAGCATGGGACTATACCTGTGTGTCCACACTGGCTAACACCTATATCTGTCACAGTGTCAGGCGACAGGGAGGAGCTGCCGACCACAGGGAGGAGTACAATTTCAGCAAGTACAGGGATATAAGCCAACAGTATCAATCTGTCCCAGTGGGATCAGAGACCTTGGGATCATGGGGAAAAAATGCCATACATTTCCTTAAAGAATTGGGTGCCAGACTTACTGACACCACCAGGGACCCAAGGGCAGCCACTTTCATGTTCCACCACCTCAGTGTGACCATCCAGAGGGGAAATGCTTGCTGCATACTTGGCTTGCGTCCGGCTTTGGACGAGCTGGAGGAAATCCATAATCTTTAACATATTGTACCATTGTATTCATGTTTGTGTTTTCTGTAAATGAATTCTGTCTATTAATAAATTTTCCCAAAGAATATAAAATATAGGGGTGGCAGAAGAAAATATTCAAACAGCTCCGGGGAGAACCTTCAGTTTTCCCGGAGGTACGTTTATTGTTTTCTCTGAGGATGAGGTCCCCAGTCCAGTTATAGAGGTAATACCATCTTTTAGGAGTGAAGAAGAACAGGATGTGAGTTTGGGGGAAGTGCGTGAAGCATTACGTAGAATGAAAGGGGGTAACGTAGAATGAAAAGAGGTAAAGCAACTGGAACTGACGGGATCATGACAGAAATGTTAAAAGCAGGGGGGGATATAATGTTGGAGTGGTTGGTATTTTTGTTTAATAAATGTATGAAAGAGGGGAAGGTACCTACGAATTGGCAGAGAGCATGTATAGTCCCTTTATATAAAGGGAAGGGGGACAAAAGAGACTGTAAAAATTATAGAGGAATAAGTTTACTGAGTATACTAGGAAAAGTGAGTGTACGGTAGGGTTATTATTGAAAGAATTATAGGTAAGACAGAATGTAGGATTGTGGATGAGCAAGGAGGTTTTAGAGTGGGTAGAAGATGTGTAGATCAAGTGTTTACATTGAAGCATATAAGTGAACAGCATTTAGATAAAGGTAGGGAAGTTTTTATTGCATTTATGGATTTAGAAAAGGCATATGATAGCATTATAGGTAGTAGGTTGGTAGACAGCAACCGCCCAGGGAGGTACTACCGTCCTGCCAAGTGAGTGTAAAACGAAAGCCTGTAATTGTTTTACATGATGGTAGGATTGCTGGTGTCCTTTTTTCTGTCTCATGAACATGCAAGATTTCAGGTACGTCTTGCTACTTCTACTTACACTTAGGTCACACTACACATACATGTACAAGCACATATATACACACCCCTCTGGGTTTTCTTCTATTTTCTTTCTAGTTCTTATTCTTGTTTATTTCCTCTTATCTCCATGGGGAAGTGGAACAGAATTCTTCCTCCGTAAGCCATGCGTGTTGTAAGAGGCAACTAAAATGCCGGGAGCAAGGGGCTAGTAACCTCTTCTCCTGTATATATTACTAAATGTAAAAGGAGAAACTTTCGTTTTTCCTTTTGGGCCACCCCGCCTCGGTGGGATACGGCCGGTGTGTTGAAAGAAAGATATGATAGCATGGATAGGGGAGCAATGTGGCAGATGTTTCAAGTATATGGAATAGGTGGTAAGTTACTAAATGCTGTAAAGAGTTTTTATGAGGACAGTGAGGCTCAGGTTAGGGTGTGTAGAAGAGAGGGAGACTACTTCCCAGTAAAAGTAGGTCTTAGACAGGGGTGTGTAATGTCACCATGGCTGTTTAATATATTTATAGATGGGGTTGCAAAAGAAGTAAATGCTAGGGTATTCGGGAGAGGGGTGGGATTAAATTATGGGGAATCAAATACAAAATGGGAATTGACACAGTTACTTTTTGCTGATGATACTGTGCTTATGGGAGATTCTAAAGAAAAATTGCAAAGGTTAGTTGACGAGTTTGGGAGTGTGTGTAAAGATAGAAAGTTGAAAGTGAACGTAGAAAAGGAGTATGGAAGAAGTGAATATTTTCAGATATTTGGGAGTTGATGTGTCAGCAGATGGATTTATGAAGGATGAGATTAATCATAGAATTGATGAGGGAAAAAAGATGAGTGGTGCATTGAGGTATGTGTGGAGACAAAAAACGTTATCTATGGAGGCAAAGAAGGGAATGTATGAAAGTATAGTAGTACCAACACTCTTATATGGGTGTGAAGCTTGGAGTGTGAATGCAGCAGTGAGGAGGCGGTTGGAGGCAGTGGAGATGTCCTGTCCAAGGGCAATGTGTGGTGTAAATATTATGCAGAAAATTCGGAGTGTGGAAATTAGGAGAAGGTGTGGAGTTAATAAAAGTATTAGTCAGAGGGCTGAAGAGGAGTTGAGGTGGTTTGGTCATTTAGAGAGAATGGATCAAAGTAGAATGACATGGAGAGTGTATAAATCTGTAGGGGAAGGAAGGTGGGGTAGGGGTCGTCCTCAAAAAGATTGGAAGGAAGGGGTAAAGGAGGTTTCATGGGTGAGGGGCTTGGGCCTCCAGCAAGCGGCATGAGCATGTTCAATAAGAGTAAATGGAGACGAATGGTATTTGGGACCTGACGAGCTGTTGGAGTGTGAGCAGGGTAATATTTACTGAAGGGATTCAGGGAAACTAGTTATTTTTATATAGCTGGACTTGAGTCCTGGAAATGGGAAGTACAATGCTTGCACTCTAAAGGAGGGGTTCGGGATATTGGCGGTTTGGAAGGATATGTTGCTTATCTTTGTACGTATATGTTTCTAAATTGTTGTATTCTGGGCACCTCTGTAAAAACAGTGATTATGTGTGAGTGAGGTGAAAGTGTTTAATGATGATGGAAGTATTTTCTTTTTGGGGATTTTCTTTCTTTCTTTTTGCTGCCCAGTCGCAGCATCACTCAAGAGTGACAATGGAGCCTGATTGATCGATGGGGACACCCTCTAAGGTGGCAGATTGTGCAGTGACTGGTGCAGGTGCAGGGGTCGTTTCTTCCCTCTTGGGGGGGTTGAATAGTTGTGGGTGTTGGGAGTACATTCACTCCGGGCTGAGGGGAGGGACTCATTAATGAGTGAGTGTACTGTATCTGTATTTGTTAGTAACAGCTTGATGATGGTAGAGCAAAACTGGTCATCGCCCTGTGCCATGTCATGGGCCATCATGTACATCAGAGTCCCCTTCATTACTCCTCCTTGTATAGACCCTGGGGAGATAGGTTAGGAGAGTAGACTTTGGGCTTGTTGCATACCAGGGTTAGGTTGGGGGGAATTGGGAAGTGGAAGAGGTCCAGACACTGTTGTTGGCAGAGGAGGCAGTAAGTGCCCAGTTAGAGCTCGGTAGATTGTTGAGGATTCTTGGAGACTGCATGGGTGGTGCTGGTGGAGCAGTTTTCTTGGCATTCACCAGTTTCTTGTCTTCCAGAATTTTCTGGACTGTGGATTTCCTAACAGGGCAACTAGGGAAGACAGCATGATGTTTTCCACCACAAAGGGCACACTTGGGTTTGCTCATGTTGGCGCAATCTCTGTAAACATGTTCTTCTGGGCAGATACTGCAGACTGCTTTTGCACTGGTGCATTTATTTATATTATGACTGAAACCATAACACTTGAAGCACTGAGTGATATTCACAAACCTTTCCATAGATACTTGGTCCAGTGTGCATTTGGTACCATAGCATTTCAAACCATTGGCAGAGATGGGTTTGGTTTCTTCTGGAGTCTTGAGAATTAATTTCAGAGACTGCTGGTTGTTCAAATTCTTTGCAAACTTATACGCCTTAAGGACGTTGATCTCAGAGTTCGCACTGTTTATCTCCTTCACAAGTTCTTCAGCAGAATTTTCACGCATGAAGCTGTTGATGCGTGCAACAAACACAGAGCACTAGGCCTGGAAGTTGTCAGGGGGAATGGGGTGATACCCTCATTGAGGAGCTTTTCAAGAACATCTTTCTTTAACAACTGGAGTAGCTCCTCTTCCGAGGAGAGAAGTAGTACTGCATCAGATGGGTCTGAAATATATCTACCAGTGCAACCACGGCATTAGTACAAATGCAGCTTAAAATTTCCTTTTTGGACTTCTGGCCATCAGTGACCCAAAGTCTAACTCTTATGTTGGGTATGATGCCCAGTTAAGGTAAGGTTGTTCCAGATAATATACTGGAAAAAAGAACTTTTCTAAGTGCCCTACATTCCTACTTCAGCTGACTTATAAAGGGGGGGGGGGAGGGCAAGGCAATGATTGACCAGAGTTTAAAATACCACACGGACTACTGGATAGTCACCTTGCCTTGTTTTAAATTGCCAGAGGTGAAGTTGCCGAAAAAGAAGAAGACAGGAAAGGTAGAAGGACAGCAGTGTAAAGTGTGTGTTTGTGGTTAGGCCAATGTAGTGGTTGGGGTATTGAGGGGGTGTAGGATGGGGTAGGATGAGGTGGAGGAGTGATGGGATGAGAGGGAGAGCAAGCAAGCTAGTCACCGCCTTACCCTCTTGATTGGATGGGGCTTGAAGTAACAGCAAGCAAGTTTCCTCTCAGCCCTGAAAAACTCAGGATAACTCAAAAATGTAACTTTGAGTATTAGTGTTCAGAGTGAAAACTCCGTTGTCCTCTCGCTGCGTCATCCACTTGTAGACAGGAATGTCAACTTGCAGGTGGGAATGAATTGGGAATCAAATCTAGGAATGAGGCTGCAGGAGTAGTAGTGAAGATGATGTAATCAGTTCATCACTACTACACTTGCTGCCTCTATATTTAACCGAAGACGCCTACTGTGTGGGTAAAACATTTCAGCAATAAAGTTACCCAACTGTTGCACGTGTCTTAATCACTGTACAGTGTATTGGTAAATAAAACATAATGAAACAATTACATACAGCTATGCTCTGCAATCCAGTAAAAAGTAAACATACAAACCTTTTTAAAAGCAGTCTCCTTTGCTGTGGATACAACAATTGCTCGTAATCTGGCTACCATTGGTTCATCTGCTTCTTCCTCCAATGATACACAAAGGTCAAACATTGAGATACTTTGACAAACCAGGTCAGAGAAATGATGCAGAAGTACCTAAAATAAAAACATTATTCAGGAACATTTATAATTATTTTTATCAGATGGCTATTTTACAAGCGTAAGATGTCAAAAAATATTACTACAGTACAGTGGAACCTCTGGTCACGAACGGTGCTGAACACAAACAAATTGGTCCATGACCAAAAAATCTGCCAAATTTTTGCATCTGGTCACGAATACATAATCGGGTGCCAAACAAACACAGGTGAGCCAACTTTCACATTCCGTGCCATTTTTGTTTGAACGCACTAATTTTTCCCACTTCCTGCAATTATGACTGATAAATTCGGATGAGCAATGTTTTATCAGCAGGGAGTGCCGAAACAGCTTCTCACAGTGCCAGTATCCAGCTAGGGCTTACCATATACGAGTTTTGGTAACTATTTTTTTTTCTCAGTTGTTTGTTGGGCTATCTTATTGAACCTTGGGCAATGTATGATGGAAAGATGCTTCTTAACGTACACCAAAAATGAAAAGTAATTGGAAGATAAATAACGGAGTTCACTGCTCGGCCATTAGACGCCCCTTAAAACTTAGGATTCATGCAATGTTAGTTTTCTCTGTTGTTCAAGGTTTTCTCAGTGTTATTCACGATAATATTTACATTTAGTTTACTACTACCCTGTGCATTTTATGGTATAATTAACTATTTTTGTGCTTAAAAATCTTAAAAAACAATAGGGGTCTGGAACGGATTAATTGTATTTACATACAATCCAACGGGGAAATGAGGTTCAGGTTACAACCAAATCAGGTCACAACCAGAGTTTTGAAACGAATTATGGTCATGACCAGAGGGTCCACTGTATAATACTATAATAAATAATACTACAGTATAGTACTATGTATATACAAAATGTACAATTTATCAATTCTAACCCCAAATCCTCTTAAACAAAAATATACATACCAGCCTATTCCTCAATGCATGTAATGGAATCTCTTTCAGCAAGTCATATTCCATGGGCACCTGAGAGGGAAGGCGTCCAGTGCTCACTGCTCGGCTAGTACTCCAAGCCAAGGTGTGTGCTGAGCCACATGCCACTCGGTTGATTTTTTTACCCTGTAATGATAATGCCATTTATTATATACATAAACCTATTTTTTATTTTACAAACACATTGTAAAAATATTATTTTTACTGTGTCATTCTTCCATGATTAAACTGAACTACACCAATTCATTTTTGTTATGTAAGATTTCTTTAAAATACAGGTACCATCTGACTTACAACCGAGTTCGGTTCTGACAAACCGGTCGTAAGTCGAAATGGATGTAAGTCAAACCTTCCTACTGAATATCAACATCACATTTTTGTAATGACTTTATTTTATTGTTTTATTTTAGTATTTCATTTTATTACTTTACTTTTTATACTGTTAGTACTGTATTTTATACTGTAAGGTTTAGGATAAACACCGTGTACAACACAAACACTCGTTTATTTCTCAGAAATTTGGCACAGAAAACACGGTCGTAAGTCAAATGGACGTATGTTGAGCAGGTCGTAAGTTGGATGGTAGGTGTATTACTATATTACTTATTGTTTTATGTCATATATAATGCGATATAACTTCTCCTTTACTACTCTCTTTACATCATCATTCCACCAATTGCTCTTCTTCCCTCCCACACCCAGTTTCCTGTAACCACCTTAAAATAGGATATACATATTTTAGCAAAAAGAGGACAAATAAGTATACAAGATATGATGTAGGGCATAATGACAGTAGTTTGTTGGACTATGTAGTGGTAGATAAAAGACTGTTGAGTAGACTTCAGGATGTACATATTTACAGAGGGGCCACAGATATATCAGATCACTTTTTAATTGTAGCTACAGTGAGAGTAAAAGGTACATGGGATACAAGGAAAATAGAAGCAGCAAGTAAGAGCGAGGTGAAGGTGTATAAACTGAAAGAGGAGGCAGTTAGGATAAGATATAAACAACTATTGGAGGATAGATGGGCTAGTGAGAGTGCAGGCAATGGGGTCGAAGATGTATGGGGTCGGTTTAAGAATGTAGTGTCAGAGTGTTCAGCAGAAGTTTATGGTTACAGGAAAGGAGGTGCGGGAGGGAAGAAGAGCGATTGGTGGAATGATGATGTAAAGAGAGTAGTAAGGGAGAAAAAGTTAGCATATGAGGGGTTTTTACAAAGTAGAAGTGATGCAAGGAGGGAAGTGTATATGGAGAGAAAAAGAGAGATTAAGAAAATTGTGAAGCAATGTAAAAAGAGAGCAAATGAGAGAGTGGGTGAGATGTTATCAACAAATTTTGTTGAAAATAAGAAAAAGCTTTGGAGTGAGATAAATAAGTTGAGGAAGCCAGGGGAACAAATAGATTTGACAGTTAAAAATAGGAGAGGAGATTAAATGGAGAGTTAGAGGTATTGGGAAGATGGAGGGAATATTTTGAAGAATTGTTAAATGTTGATGAAGATAGGGAAGCTATGATTTTGTGTATAGGGCAAAGAAGAATAACATCTTGTAGGAGTGAGGAAGAGCCAGTTGTGAGTGTTGGAGAAGTTTGTGAGGCAGTGGATAGAATGAAAGGGGGTAAGGCAGCTGGAATTGATGGGATAAAGATAGAAATGTTAAAAGCAGGTGGGGATATATAGTTTTGGAGTGGTTGGTGCTATTATTTAATATATGTATAGAAGAAGGTAAGGTACCTAGGGATTGGCAGAGAGAATGCACAGTTCCTTTGTATAAAGGCAAAGGAGACAAAAGAGAGTGCAAAAATTATAGGGGAATAAGTCTGTTGAGTATACCTGGTAAAGTGTATGGTAAAGTTATTATTGAAAGAATTAAGAGTAAGACGGAGAGTACGACAGCAGATGAACAAGGAGGCTTTAGGAAAGGTAGGGGGTGTGTAGACAAGTGTTTACAGTGAAACATATAGGTGAACAGTATTTGGATAAGGCTAAAGAGGTTTTTGTGGCATTTATGGATTTGGAAAAGGCATATGACAGGGTGGACAGGGGGGGCAATGTGACAGATGTTGCAGGTGTATGGTATAAAAGGTAGGTTACTGAAAGCAGTGAAGAGTTTTTACAAGGACAGTGAGGCTCAGGTTAGATTATATAGAAGAGAGGGAGATTTTTTTTTTTTAACAAGACGGCCATCTCCCACCGAGGCAGGGTGACCCAAAAAGAAAGAAAATCCCCTAAAAGAAAATACTTTCATCATTCAACTCTTTCACCTCACTCACACATAATCACTGTTTCTGCAGAGGTGCTCAGAACACAACAGCTTAAAAGCATATACGTATAAAGATACACAACGTATCCCTCTAAACTGTCAATATCCTGAACCCCTCCTTTAGAGTGCAGGCATTGTACTTCCCATTTCCAGAACTCAAGTCTGGCTATATAAACATAACCAGTTTCCCTGAATCCCTTCACTAAATATTATCCTGCTCACACTCCAACAGATCGTCAGGTTCCAAATACCGTTCATTTCCATTCACTCCTACTGAACACGCTCATGCACGCCTGCTGGAAGTCCAAGCCCCTCGCCCACAAAACCTCCCTTACCCCTTCCATCCAACCTTTTCGAGGACGACCCCTACCCCGCCTTCCTTCCCCTACAGATTTAAATGCTCTCCATGTCATTCTACTTTGATCCAGTCTCTCCAAATGACTAAACCACCTCAACAACCCCTCTTCAGCCCTCTGACTAATACTTTTATTAACTCCACACCTTCTCCTAATTTCCACACTCCAAATTTTCTGCATAATATTTACACCACACACTACCCTTAGACAGGACATTTCCACTGCCTCCAATCGCCTCCTTGCTGCTGCATTCACAACCCAAGTGTCACACCCATATAAGAGTGTTGGTACTACTATACTTGCATACATTCCCTTCTTTGCCTCCATAGACAATGTTTTTTGTCTCCACATATACCTCAATGCACCACTCACCTTTTTTCCCTCATCAATTCTATGATTAACCTCATCCTTCATAAATCCATCCGCCGACACGTCAACTCCCAAGTATCTGAAAACATTCACTTCTTCCATACTCCTCCTCCCCAATTTAATATCCAATTTTTCTTTATCTAAATCATTTGATACCCTCATCACCTTACTCTTTTCTATTTTCACATTCAGCTTTCTACCTTTACACACACTCCCAAACTCATCCACTAACCTTTGCAATTTTTCTTTAGAATCTCCCATAAGCACAGTATCATCAGCAAAAAGCAACTGTGTCAATTCCCATTTTGTATTTAATTCCCCATAATTTAATCCCACCCCTCTCCTAAACACCCTAGCATTTACTTCTTTTACAACCCCATCTACAAATATATTAAACAACCATGGTGACATTACACATCCCTGTCTAAGACCTACTTTTACTGGGAAGTAGTCCCCCTCTCTTCTACACACCCTAACCTGAGCCTCACTACCCTCATAAAAACTCTTTACAGCATTTAGTAATTTACCACCTATTCCATATACTTGCAACATCTGCCACATTGCTCCACTATCCACTCTATTATATGCCTTTTCTAAATCCATAAATGCAATAAAAACTTCCCTACCTTTATCTAAATACTGTTCATATATATGATTCAGGGAAACCGGTTATTTTCATATAGTCGGACTTGAGTCCTGGAAATGGGAAGTACAATGCCTGCACTTTAAAGGAGGGGTTTGGGATATTGGCAGTTTGGAGGGATGTGTTGTGTATCTCTATACGTATATGCTTCTGAACTGTTATATTCTGAGCACCTCTGCAAAAGCAGTGATGATGTGTGAGTGTGGTGAAAGTGTTGAATGATGATGAAAGTATTTTCTTTTTGGGGATTTTCTTTCTTTTTTTGGGTCACCCTGCCTCGGTGGGAGACGACCGACTTGTTGAAAAAAAAAAAAAAATATATGCTTCAATCTAAACACTTGATCTACACATTCCCTACCCACTCTAAAACCTCCTTGCTGATCCACAATCCTACATTCTGTCTCTAATACTTTCAATTATAACCCTACCGTACACTTTTTCTGGTATACTCAGTAAACTTATTCCTATATAATTTTTACTATCTCTTTTGTCCCCCTTCCCTTTATATAAAGGGACTATACATGCTCTTTGCCAATCTCTAGGTACCTTCCCCTCTTTCATACATTTCTTTCTTTCAACACACCGGCCGTATCCCACCGAGGCGGGGTGGCCCAAAAGGAAAAAAAAGTTTCTCCTTTCACATTTAGTAATACATACATGAGAAGGGGTTACTAGCCCCTTGCTCCTGGCATTTTAGTTGCCTCTTACAACATGCATAGCTTATGGAGGAAGAATTCTGTTCCACTTGCCCATGGAGATAAGAGGAAATAAACAAGAAGAAGAACTAGTAAGAAAATAGAAAACCCAGAGGGGTGTGTATATATATGCTTGTACATGCATGTGTAGTGTGACCTAAGTGTAAGTAGAAGTAGCAAGACGTACCTGAAACCTTGCATGTTTATGAGACAGAAAATACACCAGCAATCCTACCATCATGTAAAACAATTACAGGCTTTCATTTTACATTCACTTGGCAGGATGGTAGTATCTCCCTGGGCAGCTGCTGTCTACCAACCTACTACCTAGTTCATACATTTATTAAACAAAAATACCAACCACTCCAACACTGTATCCCCCCTGCTTTTAACATTTCTGTCACGATCCCGTCAGTTCCAGCTGCTTTACCCCGTTTCATTCTACATAATGCCTCACGTACCTCCCCCACACTCACATCCTGTTCTTCTTCACTCCTAAAAGATGGTATACTCCCTGTCCAGTGCATGAAACTACCGCCTCCCTTTCTTCGCCGATATTTAGAAGTTCCTCAAAATATTCTTGCCATCTACCCAAAACCTCCATCTCCCCATCTACTATCTCCCCTACTCTGTTTTTAACTGACAAATCCATTTGTTCCCTACGCTTTCTTAACTTGTTTAACTCACTCCAAATTTTTTTCTTATTTTCATTAAAATTTCTTGACAGTACCTTTCCCACTCTATCTGCTCTCCTTTTGCATTCTCTCACTACTCTCTTCACCTTTCTGTTACTATCCATATACTCTACTCTTCTTATAACACTTCTGCTCTGTAAAAACCTCTCATAAGCTAACTTTTTCTGTTTTATCACAACCTTTACTTCATCATTCCACCAATCACTCCTCTTTCCTCTTGCACTCACCCTCCTAAAACCACAAACTTCTGCCCCACATTCTAATACTGCATTTTTAAAACTATTCCAACCCTCTTCAACCCACCCACTGCTCATACTTGCACCAGTCCACCTTTCTGCCAATAGTTGCTTATATCTCACCCGAACTTTCTCCTCCCTTAGTTTATACACTTTCACCTCCCTCTTACTTGTTGTTGCCATTTTCCTCTTTTCCCATCTACCTCTTACTCTAACTGTAGCTACAACTAAATAATGATCCGATATGTCAGTTGCCCCTCTATAAACGTGTACATCCTGGAGCCTACCCATCAACCTTTTATCCACCAATACATAATCTAACAAACTACTTTCATTACGTGCTATATCATACCTTGTATATTTATTTATCCTCTTCTTCATAAAATATGTATTACTTATTACTAAACCTCTTTCTACACATAGCTCAATTAAAGGCTCCCCATTTTCATTTACCCCTGGCACCCCAAATTTACCTACTACTCCCTCCAAAACATTTTTGCCCACTTTAGCATTGAAATCCCCAACCACCATTACTCTCACACTAGGTTCAAAACTCCCCACGCATTCACTCAACATTTCCCAAAATCTCTCTCTCTTCTCTACACTTCTCTTTTCTCCAGGTGCATATACGCTTACCATAACCCACTTTTCACATCTAACCTTTATTTTACTCCACATAATCCTTGAATTAATACATTTATAGTCCCTCTTTTCCTGCCATAACTTATCCTTCAACATTATTGCTACTCCTTCTTTAGCTCTAACTCTATTTGAAGCCCCTGACCTAATCCCATTTATTCCTCTCCACTGAAACTCTCCCAGGCCCTTCAGCTTTGTTTCACTTAAAGCCAGGACATCCAGCTTCTTCTCATTCATAACATCCACAATCATCTCTCTCTTATCATTCACACAACATCTATGCACATTCAGACTTCCCATTTTGACAATTTTCTTCTTCTTTTTCTTTTTAGTAATTATTACAGGAAAAGGGGTTACTAGCCCATTGTTCCCGGTATTTTAGTTGAGTTTTACAACACGCATTGCTTACGGAGGAAAGATTCTTATTCCACTTCCCCATGGATATAAAAGGAAAAGTAATAAGACCAAGAACTATTAAGATAAAATCAAAGAAAACTCAGATGAGTGTGTATAAATAAACATGTAAATGTATGTGTAGTGTGATTATTTCCTAGTAAAAGTAGGCCTTAGACAAGGATGTGTGATGTCAGTGTGGTTGTTCAATATATTTATAGATGACGTTGTAAGAGAAGTGAATGCGAGGGCCTTGGCAAGAGGTGTGGAGTTAAAAGATAAAGAATCAACAGAAAGTGGGAGTTGTCACAGTTACTCTTTGCTGATGACACTGTGCTTTTGGGAGATTCTAAAGAGAAGTTGCAGAGGTAGGTGGATGAATTTGGTAGGGTATGTAAAAGAAGAAAATTAAAAGTGAATATAGGAAAGAGTAAGGTGATGAGGATAACAAAAAGATTAGGTGACGAAAGATTGGATATCAGATTAGAGGGAGAGAGTATGGAGGAGGTGAATGTATTCAGATATTTAGGAGTGGACATGTCAGCAGATGGGTCTATGAAGGATGAGGTGAATCATAGAACTGATGAGGGAAAAAGGGTGAGTGGTGCACTTAGGAGTCTGTGGAGACAAAAAACTTAGTCCGTGGAAGCAAAGAGGGGAATGTATGAGAGTATAGTTATACCAACACTCTGATATGGGTGTGAAGCATGGGTGATGAATGTTGCAATGAGGAGAAGGCTGGAGGCAGTGAAGATGTCATGTCTCAGGACAGTGTGTGGTGTGAATATAATGCAGAGAATTCAAGTTTGGAAATTAGAAGGAGTTGCGAGAATACCAAAACTATTATCCAGAGGGTTGAGGAGGGGTTGAGGTGGTTCGGACATGTAGAGAGAATGGAACACAACAGAATGACTTCGAGTGTGTATAAATCTGTAGTGGAGCGAAGGCGGGGTTGGGGTCGACCTAGGAAGGGTTGGAGGGAGAGGGTAAAGGAGGTTTTGTGTGCAAGGGGCTTGAACTTCCAGCAAGCATGTATTTGATAGGAGTGAATGGAGACAAAAGGTTTTTAATACTTGATGTGCTGTTGGAGTGTGAGCAAAGTAACATTTATGAAGGGATTCAGGGAAACTGGCAGAACAGACTTGAGTCCTGGAGATGGGAAATACAGTGTCTGTACTCTGAAGGAGGGGTGTTAATGTTGCAGTTTTATAACTGTAGTGTAAAGCACCCCTCTAGCAAGACAGTGATGGAATGAATGATTTAAGCTTTTCTTTTTTGGGCCACCCTGCCTTGGTCGGAATCGGCCGATGTGTTAATAAAAAAATAACAATAAAAATAATGCGATCCACTCAGAGTGGGGTGTAGACATTACCAATGAACAATGGCTATTATGAAAGTTCAAATTTTCTTGATACTTGCAGTTTCATGAACAATGCTATGGTCTTTGTGTTTTGTGTTCAGAGTTTGATGTATCATTAAAAATTAAAATTATAGTGGCTGTACTGTAGTACTTGCATAAGTCTTCTTATAGGGATTTACAATAAAATACATTTCTGTAGTTATTTTGCCAATTTGATTATTCCTCCTGGCAAGTTATAAATTACTGGAGATCGCACCAGTCATTGTTACCTTCCACTCATAGTTTCCCATGAGAACATTTTTCCACTTATCACATTTTCCTTTCAAATTATTAATCTATTGTAATAGTTTGTTTTTTATTCCTTGCATGATGATTCCCACCATGGTGGAGTAACTCAAAGAAAATAACACATTTACCATCATTAGTTCAACAGATATCTTTCTAGCTCAAATGTGCCTGCTACATGCTTAAGCCCTTACCAGTCAAAACCTCCTTCACCTCCTCCTTCCAACTCTTCCTGAAATATCCCCTACCTTCCTTCTACCCTTGATTTATACACCCTCTTTGTCTCCTAGTGAGCTATATACTGCAACGTGGGAAAAACACCCAGAAACCTTCACACACACATTTCTCTACACCAATATACCAGCAGAATTGCCTGTGTTTCATACTGAAACTCCTGCAAACAATTAATTACAAAGGCACATAACTCACTGCCAAAGAAGAAGATTCACAGACACACATAAACATCACTCATTAGCATAATTACCAATATCAACCAGAACAATGGCTTTTACAACAGTGTTGGGCCTCTTGCCAGGAAACTTTAGATTGATATCCTGCACAGAAACAGTTTCAGGCATGGAGGAGCACTGTAATAGGCCTACTGGCCCATACTAGGCCATTTCTTCTTAAGTCCAACACTTTTCAGTCATATATATGTCCAACCTGATTTTAAGCTACACAAGATTACAACTTCACCTCACTACACTTCCTATATATACATTCATCCTCCCTCTCTATGTAGATCTGTTTGTGACTGGGTAAAGTCCATTTCGTGGGAAAAATGTTACTATACAAAGCATTATACTGTGTTTATATCTTCTACAAAGGTACATGAAATAATAATTTCCTAAAATAATGAAATTAACAAATAGTTTGAGAGTACTGGGAATTGGACTGATCCAATGACCTCACTTACCCAAAGCTATTACTGTACAGTTTATAATGCACAATTTTAAAAATGCATTACACAAAGATATAAAACCTATGTGAAACTACAATGAAATACTGTGCCTGTAAAGCCATGACAAGTCGTGGTCTCTGGATGGCATTTGTAGTACTGTCACCCAGCTGGCCTTCATCATTGTCTCCCCATGTGTATACTTCACCCTCACTAGTACAGCATACACAATGAAGTGAACCTGAAAAACAAACCAAAAAGCTTTAAGAGAGCATAGAAACATATTTAAGTGGAGAAAAATCCTGGCTCCATAAGCCATGTTTTGTAAGAGGTAACTAAAATGTCGAGAGCAAGGGATTAGTAACCCCTTCTCCTTTATAAATTATTAAAATATAAAAAAAGAAAATTTATACATTTCTTCTTTTTTAGTCACCCTGCCTTGGTGGGAAATGGCCGGTGTGTTAAAAAACATAACATTTATTTTATAAAAGATGTTACAAAAGAAATACATGTATATTTTTATTTTGTACCTCCAATTTATTAAAACTAGATACCTGTGGCAATGCTGATAACCTTCTTGCCCTGCAAGGCCGTAACCTTGCGTGGTCGTCTGACGTGATCATCAGTGCCATGACCCAAGCGATGGTAGTCCCCTTTTCCCCATGTGTAGACTGTGCCAGAACGTGCCAAAGCCACAGAAAACTGTGATCCACATTCAACCTAGTGAAAGAATTCAGCATGCATTAAATGAAAGAAGACAGGTTTAAGGAGATTATCTTGTCAGCTGTACAAGGAAGAAGATTCCAGGTTGACTGGTATTTACTGGATGAAAATATACTGTATATATTCACTTACAATACTTTTATTCTTAATAAAATTTTTATTTTTCACTAAAGATGTAATTTTCTGAAAGCAATGCATTCTCTAAGCAAAGTGTGGGTGGGGGAGAAAGTGTATTATAATTGTTTATTTATATAAATATTCATACTGTATTTCTATAATTATAAACTCACTAAAATGCAAACTCCCTTACTGTCATAAAAGATGTAGTGTTTCAAAAGACTTCATGATTACAGTTGCAGTATTTAATCCACTTACTTTTATGATACCCTGATTTGCCAGCCCATCAATTCTCATTGGAACCTTGCAGCCATCTGAGCCACCACGACCCAGCTTGCCATAATCACCATCACCCCAAGACCAGACATTATCGTCATCAGATATGCACAAGGTCTGGGCATCTCCAGATCCACAGGCCACATCTACTACCCTGTAGCCACCCAGAGCCTCTACTAATTTTGGTCGAAACTGGTCCTGTAAGGAAGATCAGTTTCATAAAGCAAGACTTTTAGTTATTAACTGCCAGGTTAATTGGACTGAAACTGTTGCAAGGTGGAAAGAATTTTCACTTAATAGAATGAAGATAAAAGGTTAGACATTGCTATATCATAAATAATAATACAGTAGGACTTCATTTATCCAAAATCAATTTAACCAAAAAAATTAACCTAAAGAAAAAATCCTCCTGCTAGTTCCCCTTTAACCCTTTGACTGTCGAGACCCCAAATCCTGAAGTCTCTCTCTCTCTCTCTCTCTCTCTCTCTCTGTCACAAAATATTTGAAAAAAAAAAAAAAAGAAAAAAAAATTTTCTTATGAAATGATAGAGAATATTTTCCCGATGGTAATGACACCAAAAGTATGAAATTTGATGGAGAACTTACAGAATTACACTCTCGAGAAGTTAGCGATCTTAGTGATATATACTCGTTAGCGATTTCGCCCACTTTGAGCCCTATTTTCGGCCAATTCCGTTGTTCCAGTCGACCAAACTCATAACTATTTCTTTAACTCCATTTGTTCTATCAAATGACTATAGGAAACTGCCCATTTACTGATTTCAACTACCCAATAAAGTGGTCAGAAATTGGCAATTTGGCCAATTTCATGCAAATAAAAAAGATGACAATTTCAAAATAGGGTCCAGAATAAACAAAGCAGACATTCCTGGCATTAAAATAACATTTTCTCTGTTCATTAGTCATGTCTCCAGGCCCCTCTCATATTGCTCTTGCTTTCTAATTTGAGTTTTTATTCACACAAAAAATAGAAGATTTACTGTTATGCAGACTACTGCATTATTGTAATAATTGTATAAATAATGTCAACCCATTCATGACTGCGTATTAGAATGGCTAGTTGGACACTTATTGGATGGTGACGTCATTTGTTCACTTTTGAACATTGGCAAAAATCGAACATTTCTGCTACCCTGAGCTCAATTTCAAGGTCCTTTTCATTGTGAAACCAATCAAAATCATTTCTATTTCTGTAATATGTCTTCCATTCTATCAAATGAGACCAAGAAAACAAGAATACAACCATAAATACTATATGAAAATACACCTCAAAATCGGTGTTTCAATCCAAAAACAGTCGAGTTTATTTTTCTCATTACGCACTGCGTATTGCAGGATGTTTTTATACTGCGCACACTGACCACACAGACCCATTCTCTCACAAGTGCGCATGCCAGCTTTCTCCTGCTTGATTTGAAGCCGCTAGAATTTTGGCATATTAATATGTCACAGACACTGGCTCGTAAGACATAATAAAAAATCTTCGTACATCCGAAGTTCGTGTTTTTCTTTTTGTTGCCATTCCAAATACAGTGGAACCTTGACTTATGAGTTTAATCCATTCCGTGACCTAGCTCGTAACTCAATTTACTCGTATATCAAATTAATTTTCCTCATTTAAATTAGTTGAAAAACCATTAATCTATTCTTGCACTCTGTAGACAAGACAAAATACTTAAATATGATGCTAATATCAACTGTATGGCTTATTTATCTATCACAATTCATCTAATATGACATAATAAACAATATAATTAACACAGAAGCATGTTATATACTCTAGAATGAATAAAATAGGCCATAATATGTTGGCAGGGGCAGCGGCAGAAGCGTCCGCCATTTCCTAACCAACTTTGACTATAGTATTTTTCCATGCTCTTACTGTAAGAGAAAACGGAGTGTTTGTGAGGCTAACTGCAGTAGATCACTAGTTTTCTAAGGAAAACACTGAAACAATGTATTTATATATAAGAATATTGTATATAAAAACATAATAAATCATAATACACTACAGAATGTAAAGAAATATTAAACTGTTTATACAAAGTTTATACACACTTGGAGCAGAGATGGTGGGGGATGTTGAGGGTACGGCATATTTATTTATTTATTTATTTTTTATTTGGACATGATACATAGTTGTACAAAGAAATATAGTAATTGGGTGTACATGCCAAAAGCCCCTTGTATGCAGAGCATTATGGGCAAGCTTAAAATTAACTTAAGATTAACTAAGCAATGATTGATTCAGTGGTGAAAATTACAGCAAACAAATTACAACAAGAAGTACAAATGAGTATTTTAAATAAGAAGCTTTATAGTTGTACAAATTTGAAGCATAACAATGTATAATATAATTGAATCATATCAAGTAAAATCAATGATTTATAGTGCAGAAAAAGGTTATATGGTCATTAGATGAGTTACTGTGCATTCAAGAGAATGGAGTATTCTGTAAGGTAATGTAGTTAAAAAAAAAACAGTTTGATAGGGTCACAGGTTATACATTTATGAGATACAGTTAATCAGTATTTATTTAGTTGTGGTTGAGTAAGTGGTTTTTAAGAAGAGTCTTGAATTGATAAACAGACAGTATTTCTTTTGTATTCACAGGTAATGAATTCCATATTTTTGGGCCTTTTATGTGCGTTGAGTTTTTACATAGTGTGAGATGGACACGGGGAACATCAAAGAGTGATCTGTGCCTTGTGTTATGGTCATGTGTTCTGTTGAGGTTGGAAAGGAGATGTTTGAGGGAAGGGTTTATATCTGAGTTTAGTGTTCCATGTATGTAGCAGGCACAATAATAAGTATGGATGTTTTGTACAGTAAGTTTAAGAGTTTTGAAAATTGGTAGAGCATGCTGCCTGGAGTGGGAATTTGTTATCATTCTGACTGTAGCCTTTTGTTGGGTAATTAATAGTCTAAGATGATTTATTGTTGTTGAGCCCCATGCACAAATTCCATAGGTGAGATAGGGGTAAATGAGTGAGTGATATAGGGCCAGGAGAGCTGACTATGATGTCAGTGGCCCTGTAAACCTCCAACAACAACATTGTTTTGTTTGAGTGTTGAACTTAACTGATACAATTTGTATTGTTTAATCACTGAACATAACTGATACAGCTTTAGTATCTATATGCCGTAGATGTATTAAGCTGGTATTGCCTGGCTAAGTCCATGGAAATCATCATCTTTTTCTTCTCAGCACTGACCTTTGCACTTAATTTCTTAGGACCCATGGTTAGAAAAAAGAGATTTGGCCAAATGACTGTAAAAAAAAAAATGCAAGCAAGCATGAGAGAACTGCTGCCACAGCAATGTAAACAAGTATACTGCTTACCGGATGTTTTGGCATCAGCTGTGCCAACTAGCAGCAGCATTCTGAATTATTATGTACGTACTATGCATTATTATTAATTTAGGGAAATGAAACTCTATTGTTATTATAATGATATTAATAATAATTTTATTATCATTATTAATTTAGGGAACTGCAACACAGATCCAATTCCCTAGATGCAGAGCCCCTCACCAGCATCAAGGAACCTTGACACTGGTGAGGGGCTCCTGATCTAGGGAATTGGATCTGTGCTCTAATTACCTAAATTAATAATAATAATAATAATAATAATTGTAGGTAGTAGGTTGGTAGACAGCAACTGCCCAGGGAGGTACTACCGTCCTGCCAAGTAAGTGAGTGTAAAACGAAAGCCTGTAATTGTTTTACATGATGGTAGGATTGCTGGTGTCCTTTTTTTCTGTCTCATAAACATGCAAGATTTCAGGTACGTCTTGCTACTTCTACTTACACTTAGGTCACACTACACGTACATGTACAAGCACACCCCTCTGGGTTTTCTTCTATTTTCTTTCTAGTTCTTATTCTTGTTTATTTCCTCTTATCTCCATGGGGAAGTGGAACAGAATTCTTCCTCCATAAGCCATGCGTGTTGTAAGAGGCGACTAAAATGCCGGGAGCAAGGGGCTAGTAACCTCTTCTCCTGTATATATTACTAAATGTAAAAGGAGAAACTTTTGTTTTTCCTTTTGGGCCACCCCGCCTCGGTGGGATACGGCCGGTGTGTTGAAAGAAAGAAAGAATAATAATAATAATAATTGTAGGTAGTAGGTTGGTAGACAGCAACTGCCCAGGGAGGTACTACCGTCCTGCCAAGTGAGTGTAAAACGAAAGCCTGTAATTGTTTTACATGATGGTAGGATTGCTGGTGTCCTTTTTTTCTATCTCATAAACATGCAAGATTTCAGGTACGTCTTGCTACTTCTACTTACACTTAGGTCACACTACATGTACATGTACAAGCACACTCCTCTGGGTTTTCTTCTATTTTCTTTCTAGTTCTTGTTCTTGTTTATTTCCTCTTATCTCCATGGGGAAATGGAACAGAATTCTTCCTCCATAAGCCATGTGTGTTGTAAGAGGCGACTAAAATGCCGGGAGCAAGGGACTAGTAACCCCTCCTCCTGTATAAATTACTAAATTTTAAAAGAGAAACTTTCGTTTTTCTTTTTGGGCCACCCTGCCTCGGTGGGATACGGGAGGTGCGTGAGGCATTACGTAGAATGAAACTGGGTAAAGCAGCTGGAACTGACAGGATCATGACAGAAATGTTAAAAGCAGGGGGGATATAGTGTTGGAGTGGTTGGTATTTTTGTTTAATAAATGTATGAACTAGGTAGTAGGTTGGTAGACAGCAGCTGCCCAGGGAGGTACTACCGTCCTGCCAAGTGAATGTAAAATGAAAGCCTGTAATTGTTTTACATGACGGTAGGATTGCTGGTGTCTTTTTTCTGTCTCATAAACATGCAAGATTTCAGGTACATCATGATACTTCTACTTACACTTAGGTCACATTACACATACATTATTTTTTTTTTTTTATTATCACACTGGCCGATTCCCACCAAGGCAGGGTGGCCCGAAAAAGAAAAACTTTCACCATCATTCACTCCATCACTGTCTTGCCAGAAGGGTGCTTTACACTACAGTTTTTAAACTGCAACATTAACACCCCTCCTTCAGAGTGCAGGCACTGTACTTCCCATCTCCAGGACTCAAGTCCGGCCTGCCGGTTTCCCTGAACCCCTTCATAAATGTTACTTTGCTCACACTCCAACAGCACGTCAAGTATTAAAAACCATTTGTCTCTATTCACTCCTATCAAACACGCTCACGCATGCCTGCTGGAAGTCCAAGCCCCTCGCACACAAAACCTCCTTTACCCCCTCCCTCCAACCTTTCCTAGGCCGACCCCTACCCCGCCTTTCTTCCACTACAGACTGATACACTCTTGAAGTTATTCTGTTTCGCTCCATTCTCTCCACATGTCCGAACCACCTCAACAACCCTTCCTCAGCCCTCTGGACAACAGTTTTGGTAATCCCGCACCTCCTCCTAACTTCCAAACTACGAATTCTCTGCATTATATTCACACCACACATTGCTCTCAGACATGACATCTCCACTGCCTCCAGCCTTCTCCTCGCTGCAACATTCATCACCCATGCTTCACACCCATATAAGAGCGTTGGTAAAACTATACTCTCATACATTCCCCTCTTTGCCTCCAAGGACAAAGTTCTTTGTCTCCACAGACTCCTAAGTGCACCACTCACCCTTTTCCCCTCATCAATTCTATGATTCACCTCATCTTTCATAGACCCATCCGCTGACACGTCCACTCCCAAATATCTGAATACATTCACCTCCTCCATACTCTCTCCCTCCAATCTGATATCCAATCTTTCATCACCTAATCTTTTTGTTATCCTCATAACCTTACTCTTTCCTGCTGGAGGACTGTGTAAGATTGAAGACGTGTCTGGAATCGGAGACATTTTTGTACCCGAGGAACTGAAGCAAGCAATTGCCATGCACTCAGATGAGCTCGCAAAGTCTCTCGATGGATACTTCCCCACCAGAGAGGCATATCCAGCATGGGTGAGACAGCCGTTCATGTTCAGTGTTGCGACAGCAGATGTCAATGATGAATACCTCGATGAAATTGAACCTCAGTAGAGCCAGGTTCATAAGCAGCTCTTCAGAACAACAACGCTCTCAACGTTTTGGTGCTTCAAATCACAGCGTACCCTCTTACTGCTAGGAGAGCCTTTGAGATGCTCACGCCATTCATTACAACATATCTCTGTGAGCAATCCTTTTTGAGGATGGTAGATATTAAAATGAAGAAAAAGAACAGACTTTTTTTTGCGAAAATGACATGAGAGTGGCACTTGTCTCTGAAAAGCAACAGCAAGTCACATTGATTTACAGTTTTGATTACAATCATACGTATTTTGAAGAAATCATATTTCATTTTTCCAATTATGGTAAATGCACGGATGAAACTTACTAGGTTCAGTACCTCTAACAAGGTTAAGAACCACTGCTCTACACAGTAAATATTCCAAAAACCTTTAAAGTGCAGGCACTGTACTTCTCACCTCCAGGACCCAAGACCAGCTAACCAGTTTCCCTGAATCCCTTCACAAAATTTTACCCTGCTCACCCTCTATCAGCTCGTCAGGTCCCAAAAACCATTCGTCTCCATTCACTATCTAACATGCTCACACATGCCTGCTGTATGTCCAGGCCCCCTTGCACACAAAACCCTCTTTTATCCCCTCCTTCCATACCATACTGACAAAATAATATATTATGCACATTTATTGACAAAATAATATATTATGCACATAAAGAAAAATTCTTAAAACTAATAATCTTTGTACAACTTACTTCAGAATCCCCATGACCAAGTCTGCCATAACGACCTTTGCCCCAGGTATACAATTCCCCTGATGACGTGATGGCAGCAGAATGGGCCCCACCACATGCTATTTCCACAACTCCTTTACCTTGTAGTGTCTCAATTAGTCGGGGACGATCATACGGACTGAAAAATATTCATATGAATAGCAAGCTGTTAACCAAATAATCTGCTAAAGAATTACTTCAATTCATAGAGGTTATATTATTATAAAATATTTTTTAATGCAAGGGGCTAGTAACCCCTTCTCCTGTAAGTATTACTAAATTTAAAAAGAGAAACTTTTGTTTTTCTCTTTGGGCCACCCTGCCTCGGTGGGATACTGCCGGTTTGCTGAAAGAAGAAAATTTTTGTTGAGATATTAATTGACTGAAACTGTCTCACACAAATTAAGGGATTACCCAATGAAGAAAACATATTCACCATCACTCATTTTCTTGCAGCCTTCCTAGAAGAGCATCCATTGAACTGGAACCTCTCCATAAAACTATCAGAGTGCATGTATAATACTTCCGATGTAAAATGCCAAATTCTAGCCGCCTTCACGTAGATTCATACACCCTCTAAACCATGCCACACTGAACCATTAATTCTATTTGACCAAACCATCTCCCCCCTCTTATGTTATTAATATTATGCATTATGTTCTTACACACAGTCCTTTAATTATATATTTTTGTCTTTGGTAGCTAATATCTAAATAAGTAACCATGGCTCCAGAGAAAGTTCCTAGTAAAGTTCCTGTGGTAAAGAAAGTGAGAAACACCATGGAATTTAAGCGTGAAGTGGTTGATAAATACAAGAGGGGTATGCGGGTGCTGGAACTTGCCAGGATGTACGAGAAAAACAAATCAACAATAACATTCATCCTGGCAAGGAAAGAACAAATCAAGGATGCTAATGTTGCAAGGGGAGTAACTTTTATAATGAAACAAAAGTCACTGATAACGGAACAGATGGAAAAGTTGTTATTGTGGATTAAGGAAAAATAATTAGTGGGAGACATTGTGGAATCTATTATTTGTGAGAAGGCAAAGCAGTTACATGAGGATCTTCTACAGAAAACTGGAACAAGTGCTGCTGGTAGTGAATTTGGGGCCAGCAAAGGGTGGTTTGAGAGATTTAAGAAGCATAGTGGCATACACAGTGTTGTAAGGCATGGAGAGGCTGCAAGTTCTGACAAAGAAGCGGCTGAAAATTACGTATAGGAGTTCAAGGACTATGTAAAGGCTGAACAATTAAAACCCCAGCAAGTGTTCAATTGTGACAAAACAGGCCTCTTTTGGAAGAAAATGCCAAACAGGACCTACATCATGCAGGAGGAAAAGGTACTGCCAGAACACAAGCCTATGAAAGACAAGCTTACAGTTTTGCTGTGTGCTAAAGCTAGTGGGGATTTTAAAGTGAAGCCTTTACTGGTGTCTCACTCAGAAAATCCCAGTGTGTTCAAGAAAAGCAATGTCGTCAAGAATAGATTGTGTGATGTGGAAAGCTAATCAATAGGCATGGGTCACAAGGCAAATTTTCATGGAGTGGGTTAATAATGTGTTTGGCCCAAGTGTGAAAAAATGCTTCCTGGAAAAGAAATTGCCACTCAAGTGCCTCCTGGTACTGGACAATGCTTCTGCACATCCTCCAGACTTGGAAGACCAATTGTTTAGGGACTTCAGTTTCATAAAAGTGAAGTTCCTGCCTCCTAACACCACTCTTCTCCTCCAGCCTATGGACCAGCAGGTCATTTCAAACTTCACAAAACTCTACACAAAAGCAGTGTTTGAAAAGTGCTTTGAAGTGACCTCTGACACTGAACTGACCCTAAGAGAGTTCTGGAAAGATCATTTCACTATCCTCAATTGCATAAGCTTTATAGGTAAGGCTTGGGAGGGAGTGATTCCAGGACTTTGAACTCTGCTTGGAGAAAATTGTGGCCAGGTTGTGTCCAAGAGAGGGATTTTGAGGCTGACCCTGACAACCTTGTGGACTCTATTGTGGCACTGGGTAAGTCCCTGGGTTTGGAGGTGAGTGGCGAGGATGTGGAAGAGTTGGTGGAGGACGACAGGGAAGAGCTAACCACTGAAGAGTTGCAAGAGCTTCAACTCAATCAGCAACAGACTGCAGTTGAGGAACTTGCTTCAGAGGGGGAGGCAGAGTGAGTGAAGGAGGTACCTTCTTCAGAGATTAAAGAGGTGTGTGCAATGTGGACTAGTGTTCAAGTTTTTGTAGAGAAATACCACCCTGACCAAGCTGAAACAAGCCATATCTGCAACATGTTCAGTGACAAAACCCTGTCCAACTTCAGGGAAATCTTAGAGAGACACCAGAAACAGAGCACTCATGACAGTTATTTTGTGAGACAGGGGTCCAGTGACTCTCAAGCTGGTCCTAGTGGCATTAAAAGACAAAGTAGGGAAGTAACTCCAGAGAAGGCTTTGCTACCTAGTCTTTATGGAGGGGGATTCTCCTTCCAAACACTAACTAATCCGTCTTTCCTCCTCCCTATCTTCCAGAAGCCAGCATTAGCCTTCAATAAAGGTATGTAATACAGGTCCTCCATCACAATTCCGGCATCATTGGGACCTGTAGTGTGCCGGATTACCGAGTTTGCCGGATTACAGAGTGGTTAGGTTAGAATACACTTAATAAAATTAACCAACTTGACTTACACAAAGTTCACTGAACACTGGCAAAAATTGAACATTTCCGCTACTTTGAGCTCAATTTCAAGGTACTTTTCGTCATGAAAGCAATCAAAATCATGTCTATTTCTGTAATATATCTTCCTTTCTATCAAATGAGTCCCAAAAAAATGAGAATACAACCATAAAAACCATATGAAAATATACTGCAAAGAGGTGGCTAATGGCTGAGAAGTGAACTCCCTTATTTATCGTCCGTCTTTTTTATTTTTGTTGTACGTTAAGAAGCATCTTTCCATCATAAATGCCCAAGTTTCAATAAGATAGCCCAACAAACAACAGAGAAAAAAAAATATTTACCAAAAATCATATATGGCAAGCCCAAGCCAGGTACTGGAAATAAGTCACTTTGTCTGACTTTCCTGGGTTATCCTAGGTTCTCTATACATACACTGCTATGTATGATAATCTATGTAACCGTATTTGTGTATACCTGAATAAACTTATTTACTTTTAGTCTGTCAACTGAGTACAAGAAACCGCCAATTCACTTATTTCAACTACCCAATAAAGTGGTCAGAAATTGACAATTTGGCCAATTTCACACAAATTTCAACAGACGCCAATTTCAAAATAGGGTCCAGAATAAACAATGCAGACATTCCTGGCACTAAAATAACATTTTCTCTGTTCATTAGTCACGGCTACAGGCCCCTCTTATATTACTCTTGCTTACCATTTGGAATCTTTATTCACAAAAAAAATAGAAGATTTACTGTTATGCAGATTGCTGCATTATTGTAATAATTGTATAAATAATGTCAATCCATTCTTGACTCCGTATTGGAATTTGGACTGACAGACGGACAGGTATTGGACGGTGACGTCATATGTTTACTCTTGAGTTTCGCTAAAGGATAGAACATTTTTGCTACTGTGAGCGCAATTTCAATGTACTTTTCATCATGAAAACAATCAAAATCATATCTATTTCTGTAATATATCTTTCATTATATGAAATGAGACCAAAAAAATGAGAATATAACCATAAAAACCATACAAAAATATACCGCTAAGAGGCCGCTAATGGCTGAGAATTGAACTCCGCTATTTATGGTCTGATTTCTTTCATTTTTGGTGTATGTTAAGAAGTATCTTTCCATCATACATTGCCCAAGTTTCAATAAGATAACCCAACAAACAACTGAGAAAATATAATAATAATAATAATAATAATAATACAGTGGAACCTCAAAAATCGAACATATCACATAACAAAAGTTTCGAAAATAGGACCATTTTTTCGGACAAACTGTGTCCCTATTATTAAATGTGCCCCTATTTATGGACCGCCGGGTACGGGACCTGTCTGCCGGCCCACTCTGTCCACGTCCCCACCCAGGCACTGTGAGCAGTCTAGCTTTGTTTATGCTTGGGTGAACACTAACCTGTGCTCTCATTCACGCATTTTACGATTATTTTGTTATGTTTAGTGCTTGTGGGACTGTGAAATAAGCTGCCATGGGCCCAAAGAAACTTGCTAGTGGTACCCCAGTGGTAAAGAAAGTGAGAAACACCATAGATGTGAATAAGGAAATAATACAGAAGTATGAGAGTGGTGTGAGACTTGTTGAGTTTGCTAGGATGTATGGTAAAAACAAGTCGACCATCGGTTCTATCCTGTCAAAGAAATAACAAATCAAGGAAGCTGATGTTGCGAAAGGTGTTAATATAGGGAGTGGATGAGGTGCCTTCTTCAAAGATTAAGGATATTTGTGCCAAGTGGAATGATGTCCAAATGTTTGTGCAGAAGTACCACCCTGAGCAAGCTGAAACAAGCCATCTTTGCAACAAGTTCAGTGACAGAACCATGTCCCATTTTAGGGCAATGTTAAAGAGGTGCCAGAAACAGAGGACTGTGTACAGTTATTTTATGAGACAGGGGTCCAGTGACTCTCAAGCTGGTCCTAGTGGCATTAAAAGACAGAGAAGGGAAGTAACCCCAGAGAGGGCTTTACCTGAAGTCCTCATGGAGGGGGATTCTCCTTCCAAACACTAACCCCAACTCCTCCTCTCCTCCTCCCTATCTTCCAGATGCCATCACCAATCTTCAATAAAGGTAAGTACAAATGTTATTTTATATGTACTATTACTATACATAATTAAAAACTATAGTATTTGTTGTATGTAAAACTGTAATTAATCTCTATAAAATGTATTTTTTGTGTGAATATTTTTGGGTTTCTGGAACGGATTAATTGTATTTCCATTATTTCTTAAGGGAAATATTGCTTCGAATTTCAGACTTTTCAAATTTAGAACTAGCTCCTGGAACGGATTAAGTTCGATTTTTGAGGTTCCACTGTAATAATATCTTTATTTACTACACATACATGTACATGGTATACAGACCATAGCTGACATCAGTGACATACTACCATATAGAAAGCCGCTTGTTATGCAGAGTATTTCAAGAAAATTAGGTCAGTG